TAAGAGACTACTATAAACAATTATATGCCAATAAACTGGACACCCTAGAAGAAATAAATAAGTATCTAGAAACATACAACCTACCAAGATTGAATCATGACAAAGAAAATCTGAAAGGAATGATCACTAATGAGGAGATTGAATCAGTAATTAAAAACCTCCTAATAAAAGTCAAGGACTAGATGGCTTCACAGATGAATTCTACCAAACATTTAAATAAGAATTAGTACCAAATTCTTCTCAAACTCTTCCAAACTACAGAAAAGGAGGGAACTCTTCCAAAATCATTTTATCAGGCCAGCATTACCCTGATACTAAAACCAAACAAGGAAACCACAAGAAAAGAAAATAAGCCCTGGCCAGGTAGCTCAGTTGGTTAGCACATCATCCTGATACATCACAGTTGTGGGGTTTGATGCCCCGTCAGGGCACATAGCAGACCAACCAATGAATGCATAATTATATAAGTGGAACAACAAATTGATCTCTCTCTCTCTCTCTCTCTCTCTCTCCAAAAAGAGAGAAAATAAAATAAAAAGAAAAGGACAGGCCAATATCCCTTATGTATAGATGCAAAAATCCTCAACAAAATTTTAGCAAACTAAATTCATTAATAGATTAAAAGGCTCATACACCATGATCAAATGGGATTTATTCCAGGGATGCAACATTGGTTCCACATCCACAAATCAATCAGTGTGATGCATCACATTAACAAAAGGAAGACAGCAATCATATGCTCATTGTAGATGACTTGATGAACAAAAATCATTTGACAAAATTAAACATACATTTATAATAAAAAACTGTCAGCAAAGTGAGCACAGAGGAAGCATAACTCAATATAATAAAGGCCATATATGACAAGCCCATGGCTAACATACTCAGTGAAATGTTGAAAGCTTTTCCTTTAAGATCAGGAATAAGACAAGGATGCCTATTCTCACCACTTTTATTCAACACAGTCTTGAAAGCCTTAGCCAGAGCAAAAGGTACATGGAAAAGAAATAAAAGACATCCAGATAAGCAAGGAAGATATAAAACATTTGCTATTTGCAGTTGAGATAATATTATATATAGAAAACCCTAAAAACTCCATGAAAGATTGTTAGAAATTGTAATGAACTCAGTACAGTTGCAGAATTCAAAATCAACAAAGAAAAAACTGTTGCTTTTCTATACACTAATAAAATATTTTCAAATAGAGAAATTAAGGTCCTGGCAGGTATGGCTCAGTTGGTTGGATGTCTTCCGGTGCACTGAAAGGTTGCCAGTTCGATTCCAGGTTAGGGCATGTGCCTGGATTGCAGGCTTGATCCGGGTAGGGGGCACGCAGGAGGCAACCAATCCATGTTTCCCTCTCACATTGATATTTCTCTTTCTCCCTATTCCTTTCTCTCTCTAAAAAACTCCCTTTCCAGCTTCTCTAACATTCTTTTGCTAAGTCCCAAAAATTAGAGGGAAAGGGGCAAACTCTTAACTCAAGATGTAGAATAGGACATGAGCTAGTGAGATAAGTCTTGTATACAGTGAATGGGAGAAGGACATATGAAACAAAGTAGGTTGAAAAAAACTCACCATTAGGGTATGTGACATTATTATTAGAGTACAGATAAATTCAATTAAACATTTAGGGTACCAATTATTACAGTATTTATTTTATGAAGGAAAGATTTAGTGGCTTAAATCAACATACATTTATTATCTTTAGTTTTTATAGGCAGAAATCTGGGTGAGACTTAGCTGAGTCCTCTGGTTCAGTTTCACTTAGAAGGTTGCAGTGATCTGGGGCTGGTCTGCTTCCATATGCAGTTATTAGTAGGAATCAGGGGCTCCTGGGTTGTTGGACTGAGGGCCTCAGTTCCTTGCTGGCTATTGGCTGGACACCTTCCTTAGATCCTTGCTAGGTAGGCCTCTCGGTGGGGTCACTCACAGCAGGCAGCCTGCTTCCCTCTGAGCAAGCAACGAAGAGAGGAAGACAGTAAGCAAGTCAGGAGTGTAACTGCACAGAAACCTTATTTTCTTTAATGTGACCTTTTATTTTGATTTTTTGTTCCCTTTGACTCAAACTGGCCTCACCTAGTTCCCTGACTCACCAACTCCCTCTCCCTTGCTTAGTCATTAAGCCCTCAGGACAATGAGGTTCTGGTCAGCATACAGTAGTTGACCACAGAGAAAGAGATTCAGTCAAATCAGAGATAACACCTAAGCCTCAGTTGTGTTTCAGCTCCAGATTGACCCCACTGACCACATCCTTTTTTTAAAAAAAATTATTGTCTAAAGTTTTACATATGTCTCCTTTTTCCCCAATGACCTCCAGCCCCCAGCCATTCCCACCCCGGGCAAGCCCCCACCACCCCAGTCCAACCACATCCTTATGAAACTAGATGAAGCAACCTGATGTCAGGACCAGACGCAATGATCAACTACTCCCTACTCTAGTACTGACCAATAAGTGAAGACCACAATCCTGACCTTGACCCCTAACTCTCTTAGTCACTGGGATTAATGATTTTTCCCCTATGTAACCCATCTTCTTGAGGCCATCCCAGACCCTGTGACTCTGGGCATGGTGCCATCTTTTAATAAATCCTTATTTTCTTGATTACAAACTCCTGTTTGTGTCTTATTGGGCTTTGATGCGCCCAGGCAAACGGTTCCCTTTATTCTAGTAACAGGAGCCAGAATTCTTTTTGACAACTCATCATTTCTGCCATATTCTGTCTGGTAGAAGGAAGAACCTAGGTCCAGCCCACATTCAAGGTGAGTATTAACAGGGCACAAACACCAGGGGGCAGGATCATTGGTGCTATCGTAGAAGTTGCTTACCATGTGGAGGAGCATAACCAGGGTCCAACTTTCAAAATCAGAAAAGTGTGGCAGATAAATGTTTATATCCAATATTAAGAAGGGTGTACATTTTCTTACCTCACCAGCACATATTGAGTGTTTTTTTTTAAATTAAATATATTGGGGTGGCATTGGTCAACATGAACATACAGGTTTCAGGTGTGGGTTTCTTTGTTATAAGATCTGTATATTGCACTGTGTGCCCACCACCCAACGTTTGCATTGTGCTATGCTGGCTACAAAAAGTGGAAAAGGTCTTTAAAAATTGAAAAGATGATCTATGAAAAGAATATGATGCAGGAGGGCGACAATTATAAAATAAAAACCAAGGACAAAGAAAAGAATGAGGAAAATATCACACAAGGAAGGTGAATGACCATAGAGTGGAATTTCCACTTAAGCATTACAATGTTCTCAAAAGACCCAGGAGATGGGACGAGACAAATGAAATAGTTGCCATGATAAATGGCTTCTTGAAAACAACAGTTCTAATACGTTTGACTGACCCATCTACCAAACAATACTTGCTAAGGGGACAAAGTAGTAGCTAATACCTGGGTGTGCCATTGTGAGGAACTTCTAGAGGCAATTGGCCAAAGCTCCTTTATATTTCAAAGGAGCAAACTGTATATTCAAGGACTTTATTTTCTTAAAAGAAGGAGTCTAAATGGGGGAAGGAAAATCAGAACCTTGGGGTAAATACTTTAGAAAAGGCTCTTTCCTAATCTAGGCAGGACTTGTGGTCTGGCTTCAACCTCCTCTCTCCTCACTCACTGCTGGGCACATACTGCTGCAGCCATACTGGCCTCCAGGTCAGCAGAACACCAGTTCCTCCCCAAACCTCATTTCATTCAGTCCCCTGTTCCAATGGACTTGACTGCTATCTATAATAGCATAGACCTGCCCCTTCCTCTTACCTTGCTTTTATTTTTCTTCATAGTAGTTACCACTTTCTGAAGTTATATTATGCCTTTTTCTTTTTTAATCCTCACCTGAGGATATTTTTTCACTTTGATAATTATTTACTTATTTTTAAATATATTTTTACTGACGAGAGCGAATCATTGAGTCCCCTAATGGGGATAGAGCCTGCAATCCAGGCATGTACCCTGACCGGATAGGGAATCAAACCGTGACCTCCTGGTTCACAGGTAGATGCTCAACCATTAGAGAGAGTGGAAGGGAGGGAATAGGAAAGGAAGAGAGAGAGAGAAATAGAGAGATACATCAGGTGAGAGAGACCCATTGATTGGTTGCCTCCCACAAAGGCCGGACCAGGGCAGGGGAGGTAAGTGCCCTTGACCAGGAATGGGACCTGCCATGCTCTATCCACTGAGCGACCAGCCAGGCTATTTTAAAAATCTGTTTATTGCCTGACTCCTCCACTGAGACAAAAGCTCTATGAATTAAAGGCCTTTAACTCACTGCTCTAGGACCTGGAAAAGCAATGCATTGCCTCTGGTCAATAGTATCCTTGAGTGAATGAAAGAGAAAATATAGTAAGTGAAGCCCATAAAAACATGTCAGCAGCAATGCATAACAAAAAGGGCGAAATGTGAAGAATAAGCAATGACAATTTGGTAGAACTGTGTTAATACGAATTCATGTGTGAGTGAAGAATTTTTATACTTACGTATAATACGTAATTCATTTTTTAAAAACCCGGAACACTCAAATGAGCGAATTTACTTGAAAATAGGACAATATACAAATCTTCCCGCAGAGCACTCCCTTTTCCTCTAGATGCGGTGTGCTAAGTTCTTGTGGAGTATCCACCGGGAGCCTGAGCTCATCCTCCTCCTTTTATAAAAAGGTATTCTTGTCGCTATTCGATTGGCTGGCCCTCCGAGAAGCCCTATTTTCATTGGCCCCAACACCAGGCCATCACCGACTCGAGCACTCCATTGGTTCGCTCCGCAGACAGCTGCTGCCGCCTGCTTTCCGGCGGGAGGGGTTTCCCCGATGACGTCCATGGCACCGCCCGCCCACATTCCAAAGCCGGGGCCTAGACTGTCTGCGGCCCCAGCCTTTGGGGGCGGGACGGACGGAGAAGAAGACTTCTGATTGGATAGGGGAGGCGATATGCGTATCCTATTGGTCACTGCCCTGGACGGAGGTGGAGTCGTGGGTGGGTCCCGGAGTCGGGCTGAGGAGCTCCGGGGAGACTCAAAGTTTGCGTCTGGAGCGGTAGTGGGAAGTGGGCTCACCGAGGAGGGTTTTTTCTTGCGGCGAGAGCCGTTCTCCTACCTTCACTGTGGATGTACACGCAGCTTTAACCCCTGCAGCCTTCGGCCCGACCCTCGACTGCCTGTCTCCCCCGGGGGTTCTCAGGTCTCCGAGCACCCGGAACGGGAGCCCTGGGCCGTTCTCTCCGGCGGGGGAGCGGACGTTTCCTTCCCCAGTGCACAAGCTACACGCACACACGCGCGCACACGCACTCACGCGCGGAGCCGGATCGCCCTCCGCGGCGCCACAGCCAGCGCCCTCCTGCGCTCAGCATCCCCGGCCCCGCGCGCCTCGGACCACCATGGAGGTGCTGGAGAGCGGGGAGCAGAGCGCCCTGCAGTGGGACCGCAAGCTGAGCGAGCTGTCAGAGCCGGGGGACCCCGAGGCTCTCACGTACCCCACGGTGAGGACGCGACGGGGCCGGGCGGGCGGACGAGGAGGGGGAGTGTTGGCATCGGAGGAAAGCTGGGGAAAGGGCGCTGGGATGGACATATTTGGGAAGAGGCTTGCCCCCGAACGGGGAGATCTGGGGAGAGGCGTGGTTGTTGTTTTTTATCTGAACAGATAAAGGTGGGCAGCCGGACCTTTTAAACTTTCAATAGTAGCTATGACCCTGTTGCTTTTGCAATTTGTACCACTCCCCCGGGCCTTTTCGCGTCTGCAGGATCATTTGCTATTATCGTCAGTGTTGTAAAGCCGGAGAAGGGTAAGGCGTTTTGAGGATAATGCACCTCTGTTTCAGTTAGATTTTTGTGGGAAGGCTTTTAAAATCTAGACAAAATAAAGTAGTGTTTTCTTTCCTTGAGTGTCGTATTCTCTCTTTTCCTTTACTTATTAATATTTCAACAAGTGCACGTGTGTGTGTGTGTGTGTGTGTGTGTGTGTGTGTGTGTGTTGGAAAGGCCCCTGGCGTTGGAGGAAGATTGCTTTATTTGGCTCCTTTCACGGGACAGCCAAGAACTCTGCTTCCTCCCTCTTCAGAGGAAAGATCGGCGGAGGCGTGTGGAAAGTCTGAGGCAGTGGCATATTTCAGAAAGGCTTTGGAGAAGCTGGGACAGCGCACCAGTTCCTGCCTCAGAGACCCCTTTGGGGAGTACGCTGTCACAGAACAAAGACATTTCTTTGAAAGTTTTCAATCTCAATTTCTTGGTATTAAATTTGAAAAATGAAATTTTGTTTTTAGCAGCCAACACTGGGACTTTTTGTGAGATCTTTGTTTTTTTATAAGCACAGAAGTTTGTAATAGAGGGGGGGAGACATAAAAAGAGGGAAAGATAGGGAGAAAGGGAGAGAAAACACTAATGAGAAAAGAAGAGGCTTGGTTATTTCCCCTTCGTGATTCCTTTAATGGGGTCAGCTCCAGGATATTTGAAACTTTTGCAAAATGGCCTGCAGGCTCCACCTCTTTGGCCTTTGCCTCTGCCTGACATTATTTTGGGAAAAGGGACGAGGATTCCCTGTGATTCCCACCAAAGCATCAGTGGTGGCTGAGGATGACTTGTTTAAAAAATGCAGAGTGCAGGGCTGAGAAGGAATGGTCGCTCACAAGCCAGATGTGTGGTGTGGTCTGCCTAGCCTGTCCCTAGGAGACAGCGTGGGCGCATTTGGATTGGGGGCCCAGATGTGCTTCCTGTTATCAGTACAGAACTTCGAGCTCGTTAGCCCTCATAAATCCCCTGATGATTGGATGCTCCAGATGTTTCTCCTGACATGGGCTGCATTTTAACCATTTGCGGAGGGCAGCTCTTCTCTTTTGTTCTTACACTGAAAGATGTCTCATCCAGCAGCTATAATGTCACAGCTTCGAGATTGCGTCGAGCTGGTGGGATGAATTATGCACAGGCCTCCATATTTCCTTTCTTGGGCCCTGTGGCTTGCCAGTGTGCCATCACAGGCCAGGTTTTGAGATGCTCCCTGTGACTGTAACATTCACTCCTGGCAGCTTAGACTGGCGCTAACATCTTCATGCACCGTTTCAGGGACAGAGGCCCTTACATTCCTTTTGGTATTAAGGGCTCAGTTTTCCTATTCATTGTTATGAAGCAGTGATGTGTGATTATTTTTCTTCTGATTTTATTTTTTAAATGACTTGATGTTCACTACTTGAGGACACATCTCTCTTCTGGGGAGCTCACTCATATAAAATGCCTCTCATGGTTGCCTCAAGTCGTTGGCAACAAACCATGTATATGAATTAGTGTTGACAGAGGTGTTGGGTTTACTAGCACAGAGGACTGGATTATATTCCTTCTAAACTAAGGGGACTTTGGCAGAGATTTGAAAATAGATAACTCCCCATCTGTTTCTTGAACTCTGTTGGGTATCCAGTTGCAGAGCTGGTTATTACGGCCATTTGTCTGTAATGTGGAATGGACTGACCTCCAGGTAGAAAAAGGATGGCCTGATTATGCATTCATTTAAAGGTTTACTTGTGTTTTTTTTTTAATGAACAGTTATTGAATGTCTTCTGCATGCCAACACTGTTCTAAACAGTTTTGGATACATCAGTGAAGAAAAGGAGGCAAAAAATTCCTGATCTTGAAAAGCTCACATTCCTCTGTGTGTATGTATGTGTGTGTGTAGGGGAAGATAAACAAGTGGAGGTCAGTGAAATAGCGTATTAGACAATATACGTGCTATGGAAAAAGTGGAACAGGGGTGGGAGATGGAGGAAGGGCAAAATATGGTATTGAATTGAGCAATCAGAATAAGCTTCAGATACAAGGGGATCTGAACAAAGGCTTGAAAGGGGAGAAAGTTATTTCAGTAGGATGGAAAGCAGAGCAAAGGCCCTAAGGTGGGAGTGCATCTGGCATGTGCTTATGGGAACATCATTTTCTATTTTGGATTCCCCCCATTTTGGTCAGTTATTTTCCCTGATACGTGCAGGTAACTTCTGAGACACAGTGCCTATGTTTGGAATGACCCAGTAAGCTCTTCAAGTTGAGTGGATTGGGCATTATATAGGGATAGGAGACCTGCAGGGAGGGTAAGACACAGATATAAATTAGGGAATTGGCAAGATACAACAATGATTACCATCTATTGAGTGTTTATTACCTGAAAGGGAGGGCTGGCTTTGTGAGCCTGCCGCCTGTGCAGCCCCACAGGCCCCTGCACTTGGTTTATGCTCTGCTGTCACTATCTTGCAATCCTTAATAGTTTCTGAATAACTTTCCATTTTGCATTGGGTCCTACGGATCATGAAGCTGGTCCTACTGAAAGGCATTGTATGCAATGCTTTTCAAACATTATACCATTGAACCCTCTTCGTGACCCAATGAAAGAGTCATTTCTGTTATTTTCATTTTACAATAAAGATAATTGAGGCTTAGTAAGCTTAAGCAACTTGGTGGAAAGGTGCCACAGCTAATTATTGACAGAACCAGAATTTCAATTCAAGTCTGCCTGCCTTCAAAGCCCAAGTTCTTGTTTACCATTTCATATGAATGAAGGGTCCAGAGTTAAACAGGAAGAACAGAGTCAGAGGCTGGGAGAAGATGCTGAGCCCGAGTGCTGCTAATGTTTAACTGAGGTGATGGTGCCAGTCACCAAGCCTTCCTAGCGTGATCACTCTATTTGCTCTAAATGGGGATTTAGTTACCACATGCATGATTGCTAATGCCCTGTTGTAGCAAACCCGTGACCAATCTGATTTTAAAAACATAGAAGGTTTAAGTTGCCTAAGGCTGGGATTTTAAGGTCTTTTGGGCCTTCTGTGAGCCACCAGAAACAATGCTTTTCTCAATCATTTAGTCATGAAGAAGACTCCTGGTCCAGGAAAGACCAAGGCCCAAAGTCTACAAAATAATGAAGCACGAATAGAGTGAAAATGGGCTTGCTTGTTAGATCCTGAATTACTAGGGATTTGGCCTTCCTCTTAAAGCTTAAAAAATAGTTCCTATACAGATGATGAAATATAGTACTTTTATGAACGTGACTTGGGGGACCAGAGGTCAAGAGAAGGCGGGAGGGAGAAGGAGTTATTTACACTCTACCCCTTTGTACTGTTCAGATTTTTAACCCCTGAATGTATTTAGAAAATGACAAATGATAATTTAAAGGCACTACATAAAACTGGACTAGAGGTTATTTTAGCCTGAATTTCCTTGAAGGCAGAGGGAGATCTGGTGTGGTATTAACACTCACACCACTCCAGTTGAGGGAGGCCTTTGGGTGAAGAATAGAGAAGCAGGAGTGCTTTCTGGGCAGGTGGAGGATTAACAGTGGGTTTGTATGATAAGCTTCCTGATCTTGATAACTTTCTTATGTCTAAGTTTAATGATCTGGAAACAGGAATTTTTGTCAATTATTTTATTTTCTTTTTTAAAGTATACAACAGGAACTACCAAGTCTTTCTAAAGATAATGACAAGTTCTGCTTGTTTTAAGTACAAAATCCCTATAAATCCAGTTCTTTGTAAAATGATTTAGTTGTTATACTACTTAAATTTTGCGTCCAATTGGATCTTAAAGGGAAATGACTGATCCCAGACAGTACTAAGTGGGGAGCTGAGGGGATGGTCAGCCTCCCTGGTGTCCGGATGTGAAGGTCATCTGGTTTCCACATCTGTCACTGATTGCCAGGATGGAGGTGGCTCACCTCACAGGCTGATGGTTTCCTCTTCCTCTCTGCTGGTGCAGAGACAGATAAGGCTGTAGTCTAGTGGGATACTGAAGCTTGTCGTTTGTTGTTTGTCTCCTGTTGTTGGCCCTTGGCTAGGTTCTGGGGGAAACCTGGGTCCTTGTGGCTTGAGAATATCATCACTTCTGGCCACCTGACCTCCACAAACTGAATAGAGGTAACAGTTTCCAGAAGGAGACAAAACTCTGAAGTATAATTTGTCTTCAAGGCCCTCCTTTCACCTTTTTCACCTTCATCTCTTTTGTGTTTCCTTTGTTTCTTGGACCCCGAGTGCTCACTATAATAATGTTCTCTTTCCAACATTTCCTCTTAATTTTGCTCTCAGGAAAGATTTGATAAGCTTACACTATTTAACAATAATTACTTCAAATCGAAAAGTTGAATCTCTAAATGGAAAGTTTAAGGCACTAGTTAGGTAACAGGGGAGAAATATTTGAGGAGTTGGTGATGAACCCTTACTACTCCTTTTCTATTCCATACATGTGGCTATTATCCATAAAGTAGCCTTGCACATGTGTTGCTTATTTATCGATGTTCGAAAGGATTTTTATTGGCTTGGTGAGAAACCTTTGACCTATTATATTATTGTCTCTGAAATTGTTCTTACGCTGTTAACACGAGTTGGGGAAAGGTGGACTTTGGCATAGTCCTGAAAGATGAGAGTATGGTATTTGCCTTCTTTCTTGAAATAGCCTCAGTGATAATATTCTATGCAGCTCTGATATGTAGTTGTTCTTGCAAGAGAAAAAAGACATTGCA